CCATGTAGAAACACACATTTATCACCTTTATTGCAAAAACCATTGTTATAGAAAAAACAAGGAACATTTGTCTTGTTCACTTGCACCACAGACTGATGGTATGTAGTTGTTGATTCATATGACATCCCAGAAGAACTCTGCAATGGCTGCACACGGCACAAAAAGGCAAAATAGAAGAGTGTTAGATGAAATATAGGACTAGCGAGAAGAAGCATAACTTGTAGAATTGCAAGTATAAGACCCAGTTTATCTTCAAGCAAAGGGGATATAGAAGAAAGCAAACGCAGCAAACACTCTTTGATAAATGCTAATATGCATGCAATTTTGGAGAACATTCACAGGAAAGGATTATTCTAGAATGAATTAGAAAATAAAACTGCATTTTTTAGCCATTATCCTAATTCTTAATAGGGGAATGCTTTCAATTACCCTTTATAGGAAACCCTCATAAAAGGAAGATCCTTGTTACAAACTAGACTTATTGATGAAAACAATTCAAACAAATGCACCTTGACACAATTATAGCCAAACCATTTCAAATTGGTAATTTAGTACACAAATTGTAACTGTTGATGCAATTTTAGAAAATTAATTTAATTCGATCCAGAAAAGGTCCAACCAGACTTGAATTGGCTTATAATTTCATAGAAGAGTTTATCAGATTCATAAAAGACTCCATCTATTTTTGCATTGAACATTACTTTCATGAAAAAGATAATGTAATTTCATATATAGTGATCATTTATGCTTGTTGCATTGATTATGTAAGTTAGTGATTGTCTTTAATATATGGCAAACGTGTTAGCCAATTCAAGTATAGTTGGATTTTTTGGGGTTGGGTTAAACAATTGCCTAGAATTGCTCCAAAGTTTCAAGTTTTGGTATTACCAACTTTAAAAGGTTCCGTTATCATTATAACAACACGCAAAGGTATTGATTTTTTCATCAATATGCCTATAAACTATGTAATCATTATTCATTACCACATTTCATGAAACACAAAATGGGCAGTGATTCAAGAGTATATGAGCAGATGTGCAAAAAAATCGGACGACCGAAAAACCGGCAACCAAAAACCGAATTGCCTGAATATTTCGGTTTTCGGTTTTTGGTTTCGGTTATCAAGGTAAAAAAAATTCAGTCATTTTGTTTTTTCAGTCGGTTTTTGGTTTTTAAAGAGAAAATCTAAAGCCAACCGAAAAACCTAAGGTTAATCCCAAAAAAAAAAAAAAAAAAAAAAAAAAAACTAACCTTAGCCCATTTACATTTTGAAAGTCCACAACCCATCACATTAATTTAATGGGGTGTTGGACTGCACTGCATTTGTTGACCATATAATGTATAAATATAGTCCATTTACATTTCACTAAGCTACTATCTACTTCAGGATATTAATTTTAATGGACTATAATTCTATAAACACTAAGATATTGTTTGTTTGCTTTAACAATTTAGCCCTTTAGCATTAGTCAAATAAATAAAATAAATTTAGCACTTTTACAAGGAAATTTTGGTTATATTTAACCGACCGAAAATCGTTGGTTTTGGTTAGTTATGAAGGTTTGGTTAAAATTTCGGAAATTAACCGAAAATCAAACAATGCTAACCCCTACAGTGAGGGGTTCAAAATTCCTTAACGGCAAAATCTCTAAAAGCCAGCATATCTAAAACAAACATGACACTATCATCTTTCTAGATCCTGTAAGGCTGTAAAGCAGTAACAAGCATGATAAAGTAAATCTTGAAGTTGCATTCTATCAGCACATTATGGATACCTTATCTCTTGTGAATCAGGAGGTCTATCAAGACCACTATACAAATAAATGTTCCTACTAATCACAAAATATCAAACACAGATGACTGATTTACTGCTGGAGTTCAGTTGAATCAGTTCATCAGTTTGATGTTAGTTAGTTCAACCACCGAATGAACCAAGTTATGCTTTGCATAGGAGGGACATGTCATTGATCTCAAACTACAAGATTTGCCAGTTCTATTCAACCACTGGAATTTTCTTTTCTGAAAGCATATATCACATAAGAGACTGAGTAAAGAACCACAAACCCACTGATCCAACATAAAGTTCAGGAAGCAATTTTAACCCATGGAATATTGCTTGGTTATGCTGAGCACATCATTAGCAACAGCAAAAAGAAGAATGTTATGAACTTAATCAACTCATAGCCCAAATCTCCCAAAAATCTCACTTCCTGATTTACTAAAAGAATCACAGATGAATAGATGATAGATAGCTGACATTTAATCTCCCTTCTTTAAGCCACTGAAATTTATCAACCAACTAGAATTGGAATACTCTAGTTCAGGATGACTTAGCCATGCTAAACCTCCACTATAATAATGGAGGTATTTTAATAACAGAAAAGAATGACCAAATCAGCATCCCAGGTTTTTAAAAAATGCAGAAACTATATAGTTAATTATATTTATATAAAGGTAAACTGTTGATGGTAGGAAGCAAATCAACTATGCCTACAAACTAGCATAAGCACATAATATCACACTGAATAGAAATGGCAGCTTACAGGATGTCGGAATCCACAGGTTGGATTAAGACAGCTCCCTGATAACCAATACCAGCAGTCCCTGGGGTTGAGCCTAGCAATATCATTGTGTCGATATTCACATTCAACGCCCTGAAAAGCAGAACCCATGCCATCAGTTTTTTGACAAAACCCAAATGTTCATGAAGAATTCAATCAAATTAATCTAACAATACATAGTATATATGATGTGGTTTTTTTTTAACACATCCAACAACTTTATTTGTGCCCACAGTTATGAACTATCCATTAATCATAATTAATAAGAGAAAGCTTCTAAGAATATATAGTTTCATTCAGAAACAGTATCCTTTAAAATGGTTCTTTAAGAAAATTCCAACAAAATAGTAAATGTAATGTAACATGAATGCAATGAAAGTTCAGATTTCTGTTTCACTATACTTGCTTAATTATTTTAAAGGATAAAATATAAGTTACTACATTGTACTTTGGTTTATAATTTTAATGCCAGCAGAAATTTTTTTAACTGGAGTCCATGCTTAAGTTCCTATTAACATAATAACATGTGAATAACTACCCTCATTTTTTCTACCAAAATTGCCACAATTTTTCTATTTAACTACATCTTCCACCTTCCTTCTTTCGTGGTAGACCAACCCATTCTCAGACTGGAACTAAATAGTATGAAATGACATGTTTCAGAATCAGGATACTGTTTCTGAACCACCATTCCACCAGGCCTTATCTTCTGCTGCTCTTGTGCTGTCATCAACAGAAGAAAAACTTGCAGATTAAATTTGAGTGCTTTGTAATCTAGGTCTCAAGTCTTCCCATACATGGCCTTAATGTAATCAGAAATGTCTTCCATTTGTCCAAGTCCAAGTCCAGAGTCACATCCAAGAGAACTAGATTTGAGCCTGTTGTAAACTAACTAGAAGCCAAAAAAACTCTCCAATAGTATTGGTGGGTCCAGTTACCAGTAAGGAATAGTTCCTCTACTGTTGAATGTGGGTGGGCAAAGCAATGAATGGTTAGTATTAAAAAATGGATTAAATTGATTATTGTTTGCTAATTGAGAACCAAGAGTTGAAGACCAAAAGTAGATCATATTGAAGCCACATTTAGGTATACAACTTCAGTTTCATAAACTTGAATTGAATTAAAGAGTCAAGACACTGACTAGTTTGTGTGGAAATTTAACAAAATAATGAAAAGAGTAACGTTCTGTAAGATTCTTCTAACAAATACTCTTTGCCTAAATGATCATAGATGACAGCTAATACACGATTGCACTTGTATGATGACTAATACCAGACACTAAAGAAATGCACATAAGACAAACAGTGTTTTACGTATATAGACTGATAAACTCATTTACAAGAACAAAATGCAGTAAGGCCAAATGACACATCAACCACTTCTAATTATGTTATACTCCGCACCAAATAGAGGAAGTTCCTGAATTTTCAATACGCACTTTGAAGAACATTTTATCATACAGTATGCATACAGATACATACATAAATAGATGTAGCCATATATACAACTCGAGCGTTTAGATCATGCTGGATAATTCCAAGAAGCTCAGATTGAAGGCGGACTCCAAAAAACACTTGAGATAATAGAGTTGGAAGAAAAGCAAATGAAGTAAATAAGAATTACGCGACAGTGCAAGGGGGGAGAGGTTGGGAAGCGTTACCTTCTTGCAAGTGAGAGGCGAGGCTAAGAAGTAGACGCAATCAGTGTTGCACTTGAGCAGTTCTTCCTCCATTTTCTCCCCAGTAAACTGCATAGCTTTGCGGCCTGTGCCTGAATCGAATCCCCGTCGATTCGTCCGGGCGATGCCGTTTCTAGAGACGAAGCATGTATGAATGTTTGTATATAGGAAGCAGTGCAGGGAGTTCTATAAAAGAGTGAGTAATTGGGGTTTTGATTCTCGCCTTCTCTCGGCTTATTGCCGTGAGGGCTTCATTTTCTTGAGTACTTGCATTTTTTCTTTTTTTTTTTACATACCCAATACTCGATAGTACGTGTGAAACGAGTTTCAACATAATTTCGAATATCATTTGAAACGAGTATGAGTATTCATTTATGTTCGTATAATTTTAAATAAATGTATATATGTTCAATAATTTGAAAACAAATTATTATTTACCTTACATGTACGTAGATAGTATAAATAATGGTAGTGATGAAAAGATAAATGATAAGGTTTGTAATTAGGTAGGGGAAGAAATATATAGATAGGTGGGTTGGTAGGTATTATAGTAAATAGACAAGTGAAGTAAGTTCATAGGTAATGATAATAATAAATTAATAATAATGATCAAACATGAAATAATGTTTTTCTGTATTTGAAAAAATATGGAAAAGAAAAAAAGAAAATTATATATATATATATATATATATATATATATATATATTGAAATAAATAAAAACTATAAATACGTACAAAATTAATCTATTTATTCTTTAAAAAAAAAAACTTATATAACACAATCCATTTGCATTTCCCACAAGCGATAAACACAAATCAAGTAACGAAATCAGAGAATCTGTTGATATTTTCTTATGGGAAGGCCTCAAAAAAAGTAAAACTAAGCTAAACTAGAAACACTCTGCTCAATACAACTCTCAAATTTTGCTGTAAAGAGTTTAGTTTGCCTTCTTCAAAATTCATTTATTTGAGAACTGCGAGAATCAACTAGTTGCAACTACAGAACTACTATCAGAACTTGTAAACCATGTTTTCTGTGTATCCAACTTCTTTGAGTACGCCACTCAGCTGCACCCAACGAAACACGAATAAATAAATGTTGACGATTATTAGAAGCAAGCAAGGGATGGAGGTAAGGAAAATCACCTCTCCTTGTTCTCTCTTATCTTTTTCTCCAGATACATGTGTCATCATCCCAGGAGGACCGCATACCTGGAAAACCGAAAGAAATAGTTGGGGCATACACTTGGATTATGTATTCTAGCACTGCTAAACCCAAAGAACAATTCTAAGGCAAATGGGCATGGTATCACTATTGAGATTTCAGGTTGTTTGAGATGTGTAGTTTATGGGTCATTGGAGAGGACTTACAAAGATAAGTGTATCATCACTAGGAGGAGGCAACCCTTTGACGACCATATCCTTTGATATAAAACCAGAGCCTCCTCTCCACTCCTTTGTTGGACTATCTACAGTGTAGAATACCTGAAAAATGACCCCAAAAAATTAAATAAAAGATAAGAAGAAATTACTGTAATTCATGAACAAACAAGTAAGCATGTAAATGTTTTCAAATTGATTCTGCCTGTACCTTAAGATTTGGATGCGTTGCTGCAAGCACATCAAGCTTCTTTTTCAGAAGTATGTCATCAGGAGACACGTTAGCATACAGCAACGAGATCTGTAAGAATCGAAGCTTCATGAGCTATCTATAAAATCCATGACTTGCAATATCTTTTATGACTGAAACAGAAAATCTGGCAAGCACCCTTTCACAAATAGCACAGTTAATGTGGCATAAGCCCACACTAGAGCAATTTATGCCACTCAGTTTTCATATGCAGGCAACAAAAAATTGAATTATTTTATCTACCTGAGTGTTGTCATCAGGATTCTTGAGAATAGCCTCAATGACCTGGAGCATTGGGGTGATGCCACTGCCCCCTGCAATCTGTGCAAAGGAAAGCAAACTCAATCAAGTGAAAATAGATTCAAGTGCAACTAAATTCTGTTCATCTGTATAACTTCAGATATTGTTAGCTTTGCAAAAGTTAATCCATAGGGGAACTTATGAGCCAATATCCAAGATCTACTCACTACTCACACTTTCATTGATTAATACTATTTCTTTTCGGAAACTAACATCCATCTGTGTATATGAAAATAATATCAATCTTATTCTAGGGTGATGCTTGACTTGGTAACAGTCAAATTTCTTTAGATTATAATTATTATAAGCTATAAACTCCTGAATGATGTTGATCGATGATCAAGTAACATGTCAGCATGAAGGCCATCAATTACCATGCCAATGTGTTTCTTCATATTTGGCCTATACTGGAGCTTCTGAATGGGCCTGCAAAAAAAAAAAAAAAAACCGTCATGGAAATGTATAACATTAATTTACTGTAAGCTTAGAAGTTCACTTCTGTAATTAACCAACCCTTTTACTTCTACTTTGTCTCCAGGTTTTAGGCTTGCAAAATGCTGACTCATTTTTCCTTCAGGGTAAACCTGCAGTATATTTTAGCCAGTAATAAGAACTACAGGAATCACTATTGGAAAAATATGAGTATTCTAATAGATGAAGTAACACAACACATCATGTAAGCAACAAGATATAAGATATACCTTGATTAAAAGGTCGAAGTGGCCCTTGGCATCAGGATCTGATATAGGTGTATAACTGAAAATGGAACACACTTCAGAAACTTACTGTCCTTTGAATTTTCGGTATCTAATAATAAGGCATGTAAAAGACATCAAAGGTCATCCACAACCTAGAACCTCGATTTTTAAAAAGACTATTATACTGTAATTACTGTTGATAGCAGTAATAGGAATGTGTACTGTCCAATATACTATTATACACCAAATCTCCAATTGTTTTCCAGAAGATACTCTAATATACACCAACAAGGCACCTCCAAATTCATTGAAAGACTGTTACATTTTACCTTCTATATAAGAGACTTGTGAGCCTTTCTAGTGGAAGACATATATTGCACAGAAGCACTTAGCAATGGTTCTTGATCAAATCTTCTTCTGGCATATATTTTCCTTTCTTTCATTAATATTTTACTGCTTTCAGTTTACCATAATTTCAGAATATAGATATAAAGGAACCCACCATACTGCTTCTCAGGTATACATTCATCTAAACCCAAGAGGTAAAGAATAAAGATCACATGTATCCAGAGGGATGCTTTGGGGCCTTGGTGGTGTGGGTGTAAAAAAAATGTTTTTGCTTTTGCATGTCTTAGCACAAATATGGCAAAGAAAACAGTGAAAAGTAACTAATACAATAGATAATGGTCAATACAAGAGCAAAGAAGTCAGTGAGAGAAGACAAAAATTGATAGTAAGTGGTAGCAAAAGGAAGGTGGGAAAAGAGGGACATACAATTGAAGTGGAGAGAGAGAGAGGATAAATGAACACTTACGGGCGGATGACATATTTTGGTTTTCCTTCAGCATCTTGTTGTCCAATTGGTGCTCTACAATGTGTCAATGTAGAAAGATTAAAATAGAGTATAGCAATGAAGACATGAATTTATACACGAAATACTCACATTACTCTAGCTTACCTTGTAATGATACATGACGCAATATCCAGACCTAGCTTTGCAGAGGGATCAAATGAAAACCTAGAAATATGGAGGAATATTCCAAATAGTCAGATTTTCCATCATACAGTTTTTTTTCTGTTAAGATTGAATATAAAACAATTTAGAACATAATTACACAAATTTGGAAATGATATAAAAAGCAACATGAAATTAGTTATTTTGTCTGCTATAGGTCTATCATAAATGCACACAAGAGTTTCTTTTCAGCAACCGCATCAGAAGCCAAAGAACTCTGACCTAATGGAAAAATAATAGAAATTGACCCTCAAAAACGGCACCACTTATGTCTTGTACAGTTGTACTTAAATTACAATTGCTAAGCTCTAATTAAATTCTTTAGGACAGTTTGTGGTAAACTAATCCACCTATCTTACTGGTCCAAGTTAGCAGCTCTCACTACTTTAATAGCATTGAAATCCATTTTTTTAGACATTTTGAGCTTAAAACTCATTCTGATTATCAGCATTTCACACCTCCATTTATCAACTGTTAAGTAAAGGGATGGAAAAAATATAGTATCAGATCTTTACAAATACCTTGTTGAAACTTGAAAATATTAAATACTTGGTCTGAAATATCACTAACCTGAACAGATGAGTATTATGGCTAACAGGTGCCCTATCCTCCAGCTTAAATTCAATCCACTGATTAGGATTAAGAGCTGAAAGTAAAGAAGAGATTTAGAAGAAAAGTACTATCCATTCTATTTCCAACTGCATCAAAAACCAGGGATTTTGCACCAACAACAGCAAGTAAAACAGATACTAGATCATACTATCTTTAACTAAGGCAAAAAAGGGGGCTTCCTGGGCTCAATGCAAATTTAGCCATTCATAAAGCCAGTTGTAAGCTCCATTTTAGTGCATTCTTTTGTGAGTAAAATCTTACTTGGAAAAAAAAATTAAAAGAAAAACCTATGAAAAATGGGCCAGAATGAGGAGCAAACCAGTTTTGCGGCTTGTATCTTCATTGATTTGGTCCAAATACACCTGCATTTAGAGAAAAAATAAAAATAAAAGTTAAAGCATTTAGCTTTGTAGTCTATACCGACAAGGATTAAAACATCCAGCTCACCAACTCAGTTGAAATGGTCAAATGAAATGATAAAAGTATAGCTTACATAGACCTGATCCACATCAAATCAGTGACTACTAACAGACATGGAATGTGATCATAGCCTCTATCAAATTATTGCAAGACATTTCTATCACTATTTTGTACCACAAAGCCAATGCCCCAGCGAAACCTCTCAACAATTTCAACAATCAACATACATCTAAAAGTTAGCTTTCTAAGCAGTAAGTGAAACATCAATGATCTCATTAACAATATCAGATTACAGACAGCAGACCTGTAAGCCATCCCCTGATACTGTCAAGAAAAGAATGCAATGTATCTCATTAATGCCTAGAGGCCTTCAGCATCATCAATAGTACAAAATTCAAATAACATATTGTCATATTGACGGATTACATCTTCTTTTCCATCAATTGCAAACAGAAATAATTTAAACAGAAACCTATAGCACTCCGTCAGCAACAATTATTACATATTTACAACAACACAATGCATGACAATAATAATACATTTTGCAATTTAGGAACCAAAGGACACAAGGATCCCACAACCAAAATACACATTACCAAGTTTAAATAGAGAATCCCATTTAAAATAATATACCCCCAATACTCGGGGTAATCAAGCAAAAAGAAAAGGCTCCTCAAATTCCATGAGGGGAGCTAAGCTTCCTGCACTAGATTAGACCCTCATCAGAAAACAGCCAAAATTGCAATTACAAATCTAGAGAAAAGGGACACACAATGGATACCATGAGGCGCCCTCCTGCAATAATGTTTTCGTGCTCAGCTACTAGAGCTATTATTTTGCAGAACTTATTTGATGCCTTCACTCCCAGAGGAAGGTCTCTATTTATAATCTATTACAATATGTAATTAAAGTAAGAAGCAACCATTATGTTATTATCAATCCCTAACTTTATGCTCCACTCCCTGAATAATGCTTTGCCTGCAAATCATGTGCTTGATTTGGTTGATTGATTATTATTATTACCATATTTGTCTTGATTTCCTTTCTTCTTGGGTGAGTACAGATTTAGGTCCCTATCAAACATCGAGAACCCCTAAACCAATAGCTCAAAACTACAAAATGAACTGTAGAATCAAACCAATGCAAGAAACTGTTCAACGTCATTAATGCAACCGCCAAATTCCAAAAGTCTACAACGAACAATAAACACAAGACGATGAAAGCCATACTTTTTTCTATTTTATGTTAAAATGAAATCCAGATGAAGCCGAGATGCGAAATTACCAAATTGGGCGAAGAAAAGTAGTAAAAGTAGGAGGCTCCGCCGGCTACCGCCGCAAAAGCGCCAAAAGGGAAGCGAAATCCGGCGAAGGTGGACTTGGATTCGCCACGAAAAGCTTGAGAAAATGCGATCGGCGCAGCCTTCGCTAGTCTCTTAAACAAGAGTGACATTTTCAATGCTGTGAGGTGAAATGAAGTTCCAAGATTTATGTAGAATGACAGAATCAAACTCTTGTAGAGGTTTTATACTTTATACTGAGCATCATAGGAAATAATCTAGTGCGGTCTAGCTTACAGCAGTAGATATACACGTTCTTCTTTTTTCTTTTTTTTTCTTTTTCTTTTCAGGGTAAATGTATTTTATTTTTTTTTGAATAAGGCTCAAATTAGTCACTAAATGTGCAATTAAACCACTAAACACTTCAAAAACGTGTAATTAAAACATGTCAAAATCTAAAAACTTTAAGGGTATTTTTGTCCTTTTCAACACAAAATTCCAATTTCAGCATGAATAAAATGATTTCCGCATGTCTTAAATGGGAGGGTGACCGGCGTGATAATTTTGAAACTAAAATAATAGTCGTAGATGAAAATTAATACTAAAATAATAGTCGTGGATAAAAATTGATATGAATTAAATATGTGAACTAAAACTGTTATTTTATTAATACTCGTGAGACCAAAATTAGTATTTGCTCATTAAAGTTCATACTTTATAAATTCGGAACTTACATTTTCAGAAATTAAAATTAAAGTTTAAGAGTCTAATTGCTTTTTCCTTCAAAAAAAAAAAAAAAAAGAATCTAATTGCTTTTTCATCAATAATTAGTCTTATTTGACAATTTTTTCTTATTTTTAATACAAAAGTCATCTCAAACTCAAATTTCAGTACAACCCTGTATGAAAAGGTCTCTCAAATCTGTTGCTCCTCCATTGGAGCAACACAAATTTCACACCAGATATAAAATTCTATTACTACATTTTAAACAGCAAAGAATATGAATTGGATATTGCACATCACCAGAAAGATGAAAATACATTGATGTAAAGCAAGAGAAACCCCAAGGGCATTGAGCTTACTTCCCCACAGCAATGATGCCACCCACGTTTTCCTCGTCTGCTGGGTTCCTACGTTTATGGAGCAACTGATTTTGGAAGCAGCGGTGAGGAGTTTAAGAATAAAAATGGGCTACAACTTTGGAAGCGAAGCAGCAGGCAGTTTTGATTGTGTTTCGTTGCCATTATTTATTCCAACCTGATTAGCCCACGAAGAAATGAGATGATGGGCGATTGCATAGGGGCCGGGGACAAACATAGGAGCAAGCTCCCCGCTATCGACATTATAGGCTGTGGCTAAGTTCTGCTCTTTCTCAACGCCTTTGCACATTTGGTCTACTTTAGCGGCGGTTGTCTTTTGTGCCTTATGGTACTCGGCCAAAGTGAGAGCCTTCTTCACATCTTCTCTGCTGTGCCACTGAGCATCTATAGAGAAAAGGATTTTCAAGAACCAACAAAACGAGAAAAAAAAAAAAAAAAAAAAAAAAAAAAGGTAAATGAATCAAATTGTGGGTAAGGCCCAAAGGTGTGTGGTGATTGAAGAGTAGGAAAAATAGAATTTCATCCTCTGCCCATCATATGTGATATGATACTTGTGTATATATTGCAGTGCAATATGAACAACTTGAAGCAAAAAGAGCCAAAAGTGCCTTGGCCAGAAAATAACAAGTTGGAGTACGAAGTAATGAAATTACCTTCCAATTCTTCCTTATCCACTTCAATTTCGAATGATTTAGCATATGCAAAGAACCCTACCATTAGCTGGCATGGCATACTACTGGGTCCAACTGCAATAAAACCACAAAATAAGAGCAGGATTCGGGAAATATAGTCTTTTTGGTGTGACTCAGGGTTTCCACCGTCGAACACAGTGACTAATCCTATCGCTGAATTGTAGGCACCTCTAAGGGTGAGATAGCTGATCTGGAGATTTAAGGCTGCTCCATACCCAAAGCCAAGGATCGACGTTTGGTTAAGGATGGATGAGTCCCTTCCACTCAACCACACCCCCCAGGTTCATGTAATATATAGTCTAAGAAGTAAACTGTACCTGGCCAAGGTTGAGAACTATGATAAACTACTTCACCGACTTCAATACCAGTTTCCTCCCTTGTTTCTCTTCTCACTGCCTCTTCTAAGCTTTCTCCTGGCTAATAACGACAGAATAAATATGGCGATCAACAAGTGTAGGAAAAATAATGCTTCTGCTGAATAGAAAATTAGAAAACACAGCGAATGCATAGAATAGAGTTTTGTATTATTTCTTGTTCATACCAAACTGACAGTTCAGTTTTCTTTCTAAAGATGAAAAGTGCTCCACATACCTCCATAAAACCAGCTAGGCAACTCCACATACGTGGCACAAATCTTGACTGCCTACTCAATAGTGCACGGTCATTTTCTTTATCTATGACTAACATGATGACAACCTGTTGCAAGGAAGCGCAGATAATTAAAGAGATGATATTCAGTTCATCAGGCATGTCAAACTAGTAAAGCCACGTCCAAAGAATTGAATGAAGAAAACAAACAAAGAAAAGGAAACAAATGTCAGAGTGTACCGGATCAACACGAGGATAAACTCTTTTCTTGCACAATTCATTTGAGCACTGCTTCCTTCTCCCGGCATCTACAGGCACAGTCTTACTTCCACAAAATCCACAAAACCGTGATACACCATGCCATTCAAGAAGTGCTCTGGCCTGATAAAGCTCCAAGTTAGTATCATGGAAGGGTTATGAGCTTAGTAAATGTACGAGGTTGTTTTGAGTAATTATGAAGAGAATCAATCATTCAACAACAGCTCAACAACCTCTGCAAAATAAATTGAAGCCCGAGGATTAATCAAATTTATGATCCCTCAATTGCTACATTTCAGTTAAAAAACACTCCAAACAAGTGCAGCTTCTTATGGCTGATTTTAAAAGAAAGCATCAGCTCACTAATCCCTACAAGAAAGAAAGAGAAATATACGCCCACACGGGCAGCTCAGCTCAGTTGGTTCCTAGTGGTAGATTGTGGGCAAGGACACAAGATCGAGGCGCAGTGCGAGAGTTTCACCCAATGTGGTGGGCTCATTGGCCTTCCCACCTAACGGGTGGCTGCTGAGTCACCTTGATTTACCCATCCACTATCCTATCCCATCCTTTTGGGTGCGAGGAAATTTCGCTTTTGTGGGGAAGATAGAGAAATATACTGAGGAATTCTAATTTCCAACTGTAAAAGTTGTGTTAATTGATAGTCAGTACACAATTTATATGCCCAAACTATACAATATCATTTCAATCAGTGTTGATTAAGACCAGATTAACAATCATATTATATCAATAAATGATCAAAGTTTCCAATCCATCTCCATCCGCATAGAATATGAGAAACATGGATCAAAAGATTGGAGAAGCAACACTCACATGACCAGCAACAGCAAGTTCTCCCATGGCACGAGAATCGGCCCAATCAGAAGCCACCATTAAAGTCCTGAGCTCAACAAAGCAGAGCTGTCTAGCACCCAATGCTTTCACCAAGTCATTACCACCCTCAGACACATCAATAGCCCAGTACACAACACTTTGATTATCATTCTTGGACCCCAAATAAACCAAAGAATCTTCACTCAGCTTCACAGCATAATTCTCCAGCAAACCCCTACAGTCACCAAAATCCAACCACCCAAGGTGCCAATTGGGGTCTGGGCTACCGGAGGAGCCGGCTAAAGGGCGACCCTTTCTGAAAGGCAATATTTTGAAATTGGGCGAAAGGGGTTCATCGGTCTGACCTAAGATTAGGTTTTTCAGGGTGCGGATAGCTGAAGTTGATGAAAACGGGTCCGTGGGTTTCGGGGTCCGAAGCTTAATCGGGTTTCCCGCAAAGACATGAGAATTTAAACTCACGGACATGGCGGGGATGAAGATCCAAGATTTGTTGGTTTTGAGGGTTTGAGAGAGAGAGAGGAGTTGAGAAACGGCTTTGCTCGAAGTCGAGGAAGAAGACAGGAGAAAGAGCATTTCTCACCAATCCATCAGCTAGAGAAGGTTTCAACTTTCAACTTTCAACTGTGAAGAGAAAGCAGCCCGCTTCGCCACCGCGCGCTCGTGAGGGTTGGTGAGTGACACTACCATTTCGGAAATGTCTATGTGACACGTGTAGCTGTTGACAAACGTGGGCTCCATCAACCGTTGTCCTATGATGTGGCCACAAAATTATGTTTGTCTGACGATTCTTTTTTTTTTTTTGAAAACAGACTGACGATTCTTTATCTTGTTTTCAATATCCGTTTTTATTGACTTACAAATTTTCATTTGACTTAATTATTGAAATGGTCACGCAAAATTATTAATTTGGTTTTTGATTTTTTTTGTTTAATTAAGTTTTTCAACTTTAACAATTTAAACATATTTAGTCTTTCGTTTGTTTAATAGTCAGATGTCTATTTATTTTATACCAAATTGATAATTTCACTATAATTAAGGGGTCATTTCAGTAATTAACTCTTCAATTTAATAAGAGATGAAATTATGCATGTGATGATCAAAATGGTCTTTTGGCTATAGCAAAATTATCAATTTAGTTTCGAGTAAACGAACGTCTGACGGCTAAACAAACGGATGACCAAATTGGTTTTAAAAAAAAATTAAGTTGAATGACTTAATTAGACCAAAAAAAATTTAAAAAAATAAAGTGAATGACCAAATTGATAATTTTTCTATAGTCAAGAGACCATTTGGGTAATTAATTAACTCTTTTCATTTATAATTCATATATAATATTAATTGACTCAAATAAATTACAAAATTCTGTTAAAAAATAATTAAAAGGTTTTCATACATCAAAATCAAAATCAAAATGAGATGAAATCTCGGGGGTGAACCTAATGCAAAAAAAAGACAAATCAAGATGCAAAAAAAGACAAATCAAGTTCTGTATTTTCGAATTGAGAGAGATAATGAGAGAGATAAAGAATTTTCACTATTTCTTAGATTCGTGGACCCAATTCAATTCAGTGGGATCCTTTATTCACATTTTTTTCCACCAAGAGACGTTTGGTTGCAATGAGAGAATTAGGAAAAATAATAATAATTGTAATTTCATTTTTCTCAAAAAAAAAAATGTAATTTCATAGGAGAATAATAGTATGGAAACAAAGTAACAATTAAATTACAGTTTTTGATCGACATGAATTGAATTACAAGAAATTTTAATTCCAGGATTTGGTATAAAGATCAAAATGTTCATACTTATTATAGCAGACAAATGAAAATCAATTTTAGGTTATTAAAAAAAAAGGTGATTTTGCCTTAATAATGATATCTTCTTCTTCTTTTTTCTTTCCAAGAATCGTGGAATTGAAAACACCAGGAAAGAAATGGAATTATAATCCTATAAAAATGAGTGAACAATTTCCTTTCAAACAAACAAATGAGTTTGCTTGCCTTATGAATTAAAATGGGAATAGGGATGGTAACGGGGCGGACTCTCCGTCCCCGTCCCCGTCCCCGTCGGGGAATAGAAAAAATTCTCCATCCCCATTTTTAATTGTATTCTTCTTTTTTTTTTTGTAGAGATTTCTAATTGTACTATTTGCTAGTTGATAAATAAAATATTTCTTATTTTTCATTCATTAATTTAATATTTATTTTAAAAACAAAATAAAAAATTGTTTCATTTGTTAAATTATTTTACAATTTTCTGCCTTGTAAATTGTTGAAATATGTAAACAGAATACTGAGAATAAATTTAAATATTCTAAATTCTAATAAGTTGGCTACTAAAAGTGTGATTGATGAGGAAATAGAATACTTTGACAACCGGTGTGTAATGGGCTACTGTAAAATGACTAAAACTCTAAAACTAATAATTTAATTCCTAAATTAATGTGGGTGTATGTGTATACATACATACATACATACATACATACATATACATACATACATACATACATACATACATACATACATATATATATATATATATATATATATATATATATGTATGTATATAAATTATTCGAGGACGGGGCACATTGCCATCCATAGAGTGGAATTCTAATTCTCTCCAACCAAACGTCATGTAAAATGATCTATTAGGTTTACATCAAAATGCTCCATTAAAGTTAGGAATAAATGAATAATGTTCAAATTGGCCACTGAACATAACCTGAAACTGCATTTAGACCACTGAACAAAAAAAAAAAGTGCAATTATGCCACTGAACAAAAATAAAATGCAATTAGGCTACTAAACATCCCAAATGCATGCAATTTCACCTGATAGCAGATCACCATTCATTTCATCAGGTTGCTTACTTACGTGGAATGTGAGTTGACAAAGTTAGCATTTTAAATAATTTTTAATAATAAACTTAAAATAAAAAAATAAAAATAAAAATAAAAAAAAAAAAAAACCGAGTTGGCCGCCAACCAGAGACGAAGGAGGGGGAGAAGGGGGTGGACGGCGGTTACCCCAGTGTTTTTATTTTATTTTATTTTATTTTAAAAATGTCAACTCACCATCTACATAAGCAGGCAACTTGATAAAATGGATGATAACCTGCTACTAGGTGAAATTTCATACATTTGGGGTGTTCAGTGACCTAATTGCATTTTCTTTTTCGTTCAGTGGTCTAATTGCACTTTCAACCTTTCAGGTTACGTTTAACGCAAATTATGCTGTGCAACCGTGTGCACCACTGCAAAAACGACGTCGTTTTGACTAAAAACGCGCGTCCCACTTTTTTTAAAAAAAAAAAAAAAAATCATGTTCGATTTCCGGCAATAGCATTTTTTTTGTGCATAATTTGAATTATATCCACAAATTCATAACTATATATCCATAGTGAATGAATAACACAAAATCCAGAATGAATGAACTAAATATCCATAATGAATGAACTAAATATCCATAAATTCATAATTATATATCCACAAATTCATAATTATATATCCACAATAATGCTGTTGAGGGGAATCGAAACTGATTTTTTTTTTAAATGGGACGCGCGTTTTTAGTCAAAACGACGTCGTTTTGCAACCGTGTGCATGGTGCACACGGTTGCACAGCATAACTATTGTTACGTTCAGTGGCCAAATTATTAGCCCATGTTGGTCCGAGTAAGTATTCAAGTTTAGAGGGGCCGAATAAACTTAAATGGGTTTGGTCCGTTTGGAAACTTGTTTAAAATGCACAATAATATATTTTTAACCCCTTTAAAGTTTGTTTGCACGTAGTTTGATCTTGTTAGAAGTTTATGTTTGATTAGATTAGTGCAATAAATAAAGTGTGTAAGTAAAAAAGAGAAATTTTTGAAGTAGTTCGGCTAAAACTTAGCCTACGACGTTCGCTCTTCTTCTTAAACTCTAAGGACGAGTGCATTAACACTCTTAATACAATAAGACCACTTGAGTCTTAATCACAAAGTCGACCTCAAGTGTCTAGATTTTTCACAAGCTACACTTGTTACTCTTTATATTAATTCTAGTAGAGAATGATTGGTTTGAACACAAGTTGCTCAACTTTCTCCAACTACAAGACTCGGCGTATGAACTTTTTGTTGTTGTCGTAGTCTTCTTGAGCTTGATCTTTCTTTTCAGCTTTAGCTCTCACTTCGCTGCCCTCTTAATAATACTTGTAAGCTTTTTTCGCACTTAACACTTGATCTTAAAAATTGTCAACCCTCATCCAGATTTAAATATAGGTATTTATACACAGCTTTGAAAATTTGTCCATTGGAGGGAAACAAATTTCAACCGTCTCTTAACCATTGTGCAATGACCAGTGAGTAAAACGTTTTCTAGCCGTTGAAGTGTACTTATGTGTTTGATTTTTAACTTTCTAACTGTACAAAATGTCTTGGCCATTTTGAAAAATCTTCCTTGAAATATGTACATAAATACCTTTTGCCTTGGTAATATTGTTCTTGCAACATAGCATTTTGAGGTATAGAGGCCGCTTATTACTTTTTGGAGGTTGACGTTTTAAGTTAACTTTTCGTGTCTCTTTACTATCCGACTAAGTTGATGTTTATCTGACTAAGGTTGACTCTTTCACGATAACTCTTCCACTCTTCGTCTTCTAGTCGCTTGACTCTGCTTAGTTGTCTTTCAAAGACTGAAAACTGTTATAAAGTTATTTTTCAAATTGGTTACTTTTAAAAAAAAAAATCTAAATTACAATATTCTTAACAGCCCATTCACTCAACACCAACAACCCTTCTACTCAGCGCACTAAGGCCAACTTTCATCCTTACTTGATGGCCATAATGTTATAGTTCTAGCCCACTCTTTTAAGTGGTATCTCACTGATGGCTCCGGCCATGTTATACTTCAATGTGCATGTGTGAAACAATCTAAGTATGTAACTACTGATACAAATTTTAAGCAATGGAAATAAGAATAATTATTATGAAGAAAACTCTTTTAAGTAATAGCTTATTAAAATTCTTTACAACCAACAAAAAAAATGATAATGCAAAATTCCAGACTCCAAAACTATCAAAATGGTGAAAGTAAATCTCAAATGATAATCGAACAAATTGCAATAACTAGACGAAGTGGAAAGAATGTTTCCAATCTTGATATATCTAGATCACACTCTCCCTTCGGAGTGTAAAGGAAAAGACTTGAAGCAGATGATGATGTGCTCGCTTAGAACTCGTCTTCTGCTTTTCGACACAGGAGGTGAGGCGGGACTAGGTCCTCGATCCAATCTGCATAGACCGAACAGATTTTCTTGGTTGGTTTCCATTTCAAGAATTTCTTGCCCTCTTCTGGTTGTTGTTGCTGTTCCTTCACTGGAGCACACGGAACCGCATTTGCAGGGGATGGATCGACTGCAGGAGCGAGAGGCTTGATTGGGGCGGGCGCAAAATTCGTTGTTGCTTCCATCTCGGTTCTGCCAGCGGGAGCCTTTAACTCTGTCAAACCGATAAAACTTTCGAACATGAGACAACTAAGTCTAACATCCCCAAGAAAGCAATAACATAATTTCAAGGAATATTGGCAAAGCGGGATCATGTTTAAACGACAAGATTGGAACTGTATCGCTGAGGTATAGCATAACAAAAAGAAATTAAAAGACAACATATGCTAGCATTATAGGTACAATTTGAAGAAAGCATCAAGTGCAAACATGACTTAGAATGTTTTGGGCATAATCTTTTTGGACCAGGTTGTCTACACAATTGATAATGGACCAGATCTGGCCATTGATCTCTAACTTTTAATGAACCAGATCTGTCCACACGAACTCATGGGAAGGGGTATTTGATCATGAGTAACAGGGGGGGTGCTCAAATGGCATCTAGAATTCTAGATATAAACATATCATAATGCAAATAACTATACCAACATTAATAAGTATTCAGCAGCATACATTTGTGTTTTGGGAATGGAAAGCATTACAGTGGTAATGTTCTTGTTTCAAAACAAAACAAAGTCCTCTCATGAAAGCATTTTCCTGCCATCTAATATGAATTTACGTAGTACCATGAATAAGAACAGACAACAAGAATGGCATAATTCAATCAGACAACAAGCAAACCAAGAAATATTATAGTAATTCGAATATATTAGCAATGTAAAATAATTCCGCTCTGCATGATTGGCATACCTGAATGGCCATGAGCAAAGTGACACCTCTCGCCAAAGGGGCACTGACCCGTGATCTCCCACTTGCTACATATCTTTGTTTTCCAAAATGTAGGTTTAATCCGGTAAGCATCCGAATCAACACTAGCATGTTGGTTAATTTCGAATTGATCGGAGTCACTTCTCCTCCCCAGCATAGAACCTGTAGTTCCAATGCTTATAGCAGAACTTTCCCTCTGTTCTCTTGCCATATCATTCTTGAATTGTGGCGAGCGTTCGTGTAGAAAATTACACCTCTCTCCATACGGGCATTCCTCCCCATTATAAAACTTCTTGCAAATCTTCATCCTATGTATTACTTTCTGATCATTATTCCAGTTCCCCGCTCCCCTATCCTTATCCTTCTCACGAACAATATCCTGCCAATTCGGAGGGGGTTCTCGCAGATCCTCAGCCCCATGGGCAAAAGTGCAATGCTCGCCATTCCTACAATTCCCTTCCATGAACTTCACACACATACGCGTCTTATAAAATATATGGTTTGATCCTTTTCCAGGGAGATTCGGTGGATTCACTTTCGGGTTTTGTGCATTTGCAGAAACCAGTGGATTGATTTCAGAATTTCTTGATCTTTTAAGAGGAGGCTCATTCTCAAATTGAGAATACAACTCAATGTGTTCTTGGTTCATCTGCAGTGGAGGCCAGAAGCCTCCTCCCATATCCCCTCCAGAATATGGCAATGACACAAAGGACTGAGATGGTGGTGGGGGATCAGGAAAGCTCATTCTCTTCTTTCCAGTAAAAACTAATAATAATCAAAGATCGAATTTTTAACAAGATCAATAAATACACTTATAACCAATGCAATTCAATTAAAAAATTTATGGAGTATAGAATGAATGCAGATTTTTATTTAACTCTACACAATAATCAAGAAACAACTAAATCCTAAAACTTGCAATGAGGAAACAAGTAATTAAATCTTATAATATATGGTCAATCACAAATATTGATATGATTATTTCGAAAAATAAAACTAAAATTCATATCTGTTTTTTTGGGCTAAAAGAATTTCGGCAGACAAAAAAGCAATGCAGAGCAAGCAAACCTGAGAAAAGGTGTACTGATGATCAGTTTCAAGAACACCCAGAGCCTCTGCTAAAAATCAAATCTTTTTACAGAAAAATCAAAAAACCCAGATTGAAAATTGATTTATTTTCAAAGAATGATCAATATTGAGGCTTTATATGTATGTATTGTGTGAACCCTCACAAAGAAAATTTTTATAAAGAAAAAAAAAACAAGAAAAAAAATTGGGTTTATTCGTTATTAAGAATGATGAGAATGGAAGCCCTAGCCGCAGCTTAATCGGGAAGGAAAAAATCAAATCGAGTACATATTAATATATTAATCAAAAGTCCAAAGTGGACTAGGAAAGAAACCCTAAAACCCCAGACACGGCTAAAACCCCTAACAGTCGCAAAAACATCGCAACTACGTGGATAAATATGGTATTTCCCTCCCAAACTTTTTGTTTGCGTTTCTGTTTTTCTATTATGTCGGACCTATTCTTGCCACTCTGGCACTCTGTAAGGACATCCTCAATAGTTGGAGATTTTATCCCAAATTTTTGTAGGCCTTAACATTTACCTTATCATTCAATATCTCACTCAATCATAAAATTTCTTTTTCTCATTAGTTTTAAATTTTTCACAACTTTTTGTGGACTCACTATTTTATCTACATATTTTAATTATTTCTTTATTTATTTGATTTATAAATTTATAATTTTATAATAAACATAAATAAATTGCATACGTACGTAAAAATTATAAGCTTTTATTTCTAAACTTATAATTAAAATAAAAGAACAATTATTAATTCCTAAAAAAAATTATTAACAAAAAAAAAATGCGAGCTGTGCCGTTGCAAAAAAAAAAAATGTGTGTTGTGCCGTTGCAATTGCAACGGCACAGTATGGGCCGAAAAATTGACCGTGATTTTAAGTCTTTCTAATCAACTGCACCTAATTTTGTGAGTGACTTTTTTTTTTTTTTAGTAAAATCATATTATATTTAATTTTTTCTTGTGTGTTTTTTTAACAAAATAAATTTTATTAATCAAAGGAATTAGGAGGACTTAAAAAGATGGCCCAAAAGTGATCTTAAACCATACTTTAGCCCTTAAGATTGGGCCCATATTAATCTAAATAATAAAGGAATAAGGTTCAAATTGGCCACTGAACGTAACCTGAAAATGCAATTAGGCCACTGAACGAAAAAAAAAAAAAAAAAAAAGTACAATTAGGTCACTGAACACTTTAAAAACATGCAATTTCACCTAATAGCATCAATTTTAGCAGGTTACCTGCTTACGTGGCAGTTGAGTTGACATTTTTAATAATTTTTAATAAATTTTAATAATAATAATTTTTTTAAATAAATAAGATGGCCATCCCATCGTTTATTTTTTATTTTTATTTTTTCAATTTTTTAAAAATTTATTATTTAAATTAATTATTAAAAATTATTTAAAAATTATTTAAAATGCCAACTCAGCTGCCACGTAAGCAGGTAACCTATTGAAATTGATAGTAACCTGCTATCCGGTGAAATTGCATACATTTGGAGAGTTCGGTGGCATAATTGCACTTTTTGGAGTATTTAGTGGTCTAATTGCACTTTTTTTTTTAGTTCAGTGACCTAATTGCATTTTCAGGTTACGTTCAATGGCCAATTTGAACTTTATTCCAAGAATACATAACGGACCCAAAAACCCCAATAACAGGTCAGGTCTAAAGAATAAAAGAAATAAAATAAAAGAATTGACCCAAGCCCAAATAATATGCTAGATCAAAGAATATAAAGGTAAAAAAAATAATAAAGGAGATGCCGGGATGGCAATGCAGAGTCCTCATATAGGTTTTAGATCTACCAGTAGCAGTCAGACGTAGGTCTTTCGGCTGGCTAAAACACACTCATCTTGTAGTGCACCAATCTTCGTAAAATTCGGCAGCATAACGACTGTATTTAGGACTAATGTGGAGCCCCAAAAGGCCAACAATTGCCAAATAGAACAAAGAGGACACACAAACTGCCAAATAAACAGTCAAAGGGCCAAAATAAAGTACACATGCTAGCCAAAAGCGATAAAGTTAGGCTATCGGCGGGCTATCACGCTCTTCCTGCAGTGAACCAATGTCGACCCGGCATCATAGCGAATGTTTCTCAGACTAGAATGTATTGTTGCGCCACCATGCCGCACCACCACAAAGTTGCAATGACGCGACTTTGCACCATAATGCAACGATGCAACAGTGCCAACTCTGCACCACAATCTAAAATAGAGTCTAGAATTTATGGACTATCAATTAGTTTAGGAACAAGTACACAAGTAAAAAGGGTTTCTAACAGTTTTTTTTAATAGTTTTCTAATATGATTGATAGTCCATAGAAAGTGATATCAATTAGTTTATGGACTATCAATTAGTCCATAAACTAACCTGCTCCTTCGTTCCTTTCAATTGATAGTCCATAAACACAAGCGAAGCATATCACTCATCACTTTTCCATGGAAGCATATTTACAGAAATTGAAAGGAACCAAGGAGCAGATAACCATGTAACCTGCACTCCCAAGTAATCTAGATAATTCACTTCACCAAAATCATCAATTAAGAAACTAACACTCTTCTTTATAGTCAACAAAGAGGAAGCTGAAATCATTTAAACAATGTACAAACCTACGATGCATGCACCCCCACCCACCCACCCCCTCTATTTTTATCCTTTTGTTTTCTTATATATTTATTATTAATATTATATGCTCAATCATTAATTCGCGAGTATATTTGTCTGTATGCATTTGTATGCTGTTGCATGCATCTTCACCAATTTTTCTTTTACTTTATTTGTTACAAAAATTTATTTAATGATGACCCAACATATACTAATCAAAAGGCTAAGGACGTCATTTCACTAAATTATATAATTTATGTTTTATGATCATTATATTTTCCTATTACTAATCTTGTACTGAATTTGTTTTTGTTTTTGTTTTTTGTTTTTTTTTTTTTAATATGTATATAGTTACATTTATTACAAGACACATATTTTAATTTTAAGTAATAAACCAATTTAAATATTTTATTTAAAAATTCTTTTTATACAGAGTATTCACATTAACCAATTAAATTAGATAATTTTTTTTAATTTATGTTATATATAGATTAGTGGGTTATTAATTAAAATTAGCAAAGTGTCAACTGAACTATGACAAAATTTATGGTGGGAAGATATCAAAAAGAAAAGGCACAAGTGTCAAATATGCCCATCTACTATTTTGAAGTGCTCAATTTTTCCCATCAACTAAAACATAATTTAATTGAACACACTTACCTCTAAAAATTTGTCGATTAGGTTTTTTTGCAGGTTACCTCCAGGTTGCCACTCCACACTGCTGACATGTAATTTTATTTAAATAAAAATAGTGATGATGTGGTATTTACTTCTTAATCTCCAACGAGAACCTTGGTCAAACATGCGAAATAATTTCGATTCTTCAGTTCTTCATTTCCGTTCTTCGTCCAGCGACATTACAAACTTCATAATTTCGGATACACACTTTTGTCGCCCATATCACGGATTGCAGATGCAGGAGGCCAGGTCCAATAACTTCATTTTCACATAGTTGAGCAAAATCATCACTTTCCGATAAGAAACCATCACCTGGGTGGATAGCCTGAATATCAAAAAATCCAATCTGAATGTCTGGTGTTGTACAGGGAAAATATTAAGCGCCAGTTATGCAAATTAGTATATGCTATGGACTCATTAATCGGATTGCCGGTCAATTCGAAAAGGGCTCGTCGGTTTCTCTGAATTAATGAATTAAAAATTAGGGTTTCGAATTACATGGATGATGGTATCAATTCCTATACGTAATGTGCTTAAATAGGTTGAAACCTATTTTTGCTTGTCCTCTTCAATTCATTCCTTCTTTCGGCAGAAACAAAACAAAGAAACCCATTTGATTACCATTGTATATGTATGTGTAATTTTTGGCCTGTACGTATATGTTAGTTGCTATATACTGTCCATGTAAAGCATACATGCCACATAATCAGTGACATGGCTAATTTTGTTATTTAATTGCCATGTCATCATTGCCACATATTCAGTGTCAGACTCCATCGGAGGTAACCTGTAAAAAAAGTTAATCGACAAAATTTTAGAGGTAAGTGTGTCCAATTAGATTATGTTTTAGTTGATGGGGGAAATTGAGCACTTCGAAATAGTAGATGGGCTTATTTGACATTTGTGCCAAAAGAAAAATGTTTTTTTTTTTTTAAATTATAAATATGCCAAGTACCTTAGCTTGTAGTCTGGTGGCATTATTGTTACAATTATCATGTTGAGGAGCTACTAAGTAGAAGTTAGATTGTAGTACTCAAAAAAAAAAAAAAAAAATCTAAATATGCATTATTAATTTTTATTTTTACAAGGATTATCATTATTAATTAACGTATAACTTGTTTTCAAAAAATTAACGTTCGTATAACTTATTAGGACCCTGCATTCTAAGCACACTAGAATTCATTCTCCCTCCCCTATATTATTAAGATTATTATAAATACATTTCTTCATCATCATGTACTTTAAAATCATGAATTGATCTTCCTTGAACTATTTGTTCTCATTCGGTATCAGACCAAATGATCGATGACTATAATGGTGGGAAGAAGAAGAAAAAAAATAACAACCGTCACCGCCACCAATCTCCCGTTGTGAGTAATATTAATATTGTTGCTTTATATTTGTAACATATAGTTATTATGTGTGGTTAGAATTAGTCCTCTGTTAATAACCTGTTAGATAGGATCAGTTAGAAGTTGTTTCAGATATACTCTCTGTAATCCTATCTTTCCTGAATAGAGTTGATTTTGAATTCTCATCTGGTATCAGCCTAATCTCGATCCTCCACCGCAAAACACCAAAATCCCCCCCCCCCCTACCCGATCAAATGTTGACGTCCTCCGAGAGAACCCCGTCCACCGCCGTCGGCGGCCAACCTCCGGCAACCGAAAATTCGTTGTCCGGAGCCCATCATTTTATCTCGATGAAATTGACCTCGAGAAATTTTTTGTTTTGGAGAACCCAACTTCTCCCGTTTCTCAGAGGTCAGGACCTCATTGGCTATGTGGACGGCACCACCCCATGCCCACCGGCGTTTCTACCCGCTTCTGACTCCGGCGAGTCGGGTTCCGGCGCCACCACTGCCCCGCCAACACCATCTCCAATATTGCCTATCCAATAAATATCCTACAAATATCACATCACTTTATCTCTATTAAACATACTTTCTCAAACTATCTGTTATGGAATACTCAACTTGTTCCCTTTCTCCACGTGGATAAAATCTCAGTAGATACGTTATCGAAGACACGTTTCTCTGTCCGAGTTCATTTATTAAAACTCCTGATGAGTGTCCTGTTGTAGCCACGCTCCGAATGAGTGTTCCGTTGTAGCTTCGCTCTGGATCAGTATTGTGTTGTAGCTGTGCTCCGGCCGAGTGTTTTATTGTAGCCTTTCCTGGGCCCAAAAATTTGGTTGGTTAGGATTCTTTTATTTTGTTCGTGACAAAGTAGCACAGAAGGACATGTCTACATCTCTACAAAAAGACCAATTGGTAGGCATCTTCACCACGTTACTAACCACAACAAGACTAAATGATCTAAGGGACAAGTTCAATATTCTCTCTAGAGAACCTTATGCTTGTGGAGCGTATTAGGACTCTGTATTCTATTCTAGGCATATTATTAGAATTCATTCTCCCTCCCCTATATTATTAAGAATATTACCATTTATCATTCATATTATGACTGAAACTTTTTGTATCTTTATAAATAAATATTTTCATCATGTACTTTAAATTATCATGAATTGATCAATAATAAAATTATTTTTCGAGAACTATTATTGTCATCTAGCTAAATACTATATTTGCCAATAACAAATTAATTAAAAAGAATTCTCCAACTAATTTTACTTAGATTCATGTGATGAATGGACGTTATACTTGATATTATGTTTTTGGTAGATAAATGTTTAGATGGGGCAGGGCGGGCAAACTCATACCTATGGGGATTGTGGTTGGAGTTAGATCTTTATTATTTCGAATGAAGTAAATACTCTAGGCTGATCAACTAGACCGACGTCTCTGTTAGAATTTGATACATTTTTGCATGTTAAATTGTTATTTTGATTTAAACTTCATAGTCACTATCTTAAGATGCAATTTAGATGAAAATGATCTTTTGACCTTAGCTAGTAAAGAAAAAAGCATGTCAATAGTTAACTCCATATAGAATTATAACGTACTACTAGATTAACTATCTGATTAATTTAACTACGAATTATCCCATGTTAAATTGCTCCGATGGATAGCACTAGATTGATTTGACGACATAATGATCTTAGACTCAACTAACGTACTAAAATGCAAAAATGAGGAGCATATAAACATCCTTTTTGAACAAGTGAACTTGCAATGAAAGAGCAAGAAAGGAAGGTCTAAACTTCGCCGATAGGTGTTTCTAGTTGATCTTCAGTTCGAACTCGAGCTTGAGTTCAAATTAACACTCGAACTGTTCGAAAAAATGACAAGCTGAACTTGAACTATATTTTTCGAGCTCGAGCTTAAGCTCCCTTGTTAGTAATTGAGCTCGAGCTCGACTCGTTTGCACCCCTAGGTTACAACTTACACATTACTAATCAACAAAAGGTGCCACTCAATTATAAAAGTTTGTATATTTGAATCATCAAATTCATTCAAGTGACTTTCTTGGCACCATACAACAATATAGTTAGAAACCATCCTAGTGCAAATTGGTCAGAGATCATTTGATCAATTGAGAAAAGACAAGAGATACATGAGAAAATAGAAAAGAAAGAAATGATTTTGAAGGTTTTTGGATTATTCTAGGATATTATCCCTCCCTCTTCCTTAGTTTTGAGCACATGCAACCGGCATTGCAGTACCAGTCCCCGGGCAAGACCTCTGGTCTGATTTATTACGCTCATATATATAACTAGTAGTTGTCCCATGCGTTGCACTGTCATGATATTATGATGCGATATATAAAAGATTGTTATATTGAAGATATAGGACCAATAAGATTTTAGATATAATAAATAGACAAAATATAATTTATTGACGTTCCATAGCTGTAATTTCCAAAATCATAGATTGAGATAAACTTGATTGAATATTATTTTGGGGAACTATTATCAAAATTAAAAGAAAGAAAGCTATTATAATAGCCAAACTAAAATTCCAAATGCAATATTTATTAAATACTAAACTAAATAAATAAATAAATAAATATATATATATATATATATATATATATATATATATATATAGTATATAATAGTATATATTATAATTATAACACTTTAAAATAATAAAATAAAATAATAAAATAAAAATCAAAATAGAGAAGTATCCAGAAGCCCATCTTCTGGACATTTCCGATCATTTCTCTCTCTCTATGATCTATCTTGTCTCTACGATCTATCTTCTCTCTACGATTTCTATCTGTCTCTGTATTGCATACGGTTTAGGCCGTGATGCCGGCTAAATTTGCTAAGATGCTTGTATACTCAACTCATTCTTGTGTAGATCATACTTTATATTTTGTAACAGAGCCAGAGGGAGATAGAAGATTCAGAATTTAGGGTAGTCCTAAATTTCTTTCAGATATCGAACCCTACTTTTCTAAAGCACCGGCGAGTGTAATGCTTCGTTGGTTCTAATCCCCCTAAATCTCTAGATGAACGTCGATCTGCAGATTAGAGCTATGGATGTGATGGATCTCACATCATTTGCAATCGGAGGAAAGTAAGGTATGTTCAACTTTATTTTTAGTGAATTTTTTTATAGTTTTCTTAAAAATATTTAGCTGGAAATTGGTTAAAAATTCAAATTTAGGTATACTTTAATTATACTCTTATTGGTAAAATATGTTCTCTAAATTGATTTTTTTTTTTTTGATAAAATATTGTAATTATACTCTTTTTTTTTTTGTTTTTTTTTTTTCATAATTACTAACCCTTTATATTTATATTTGTTTTTTCGTGTGTGCGAGGATGAACTTGGTGATACACTTGTAATTGCCTCTTAATTCTGATCTGGATATAGTGTATATGTTATTTTAATTAGGTTAGAGTCACTTGGAACTGCAACTCTTTGTAAAAAGTCTCTTGTCTTAGCTTTTAGTTGTAAAGGTTCATCTGAATTATTACACAGTAGCATAAAGTTGTAATCTGGTATTTTAAGACTTATTGGTGAAGTTAAGAGTATTTTGGTGTACATATATATAGTTGGTTTGATCACTTTGGTATTTTAACATCGATAATCTATAATTGACATTATATATATAAGCTTTGTCGAGAAGAAGGCTGGCTTCTGGATATTTTCGATCTGCACTCTCTCTGTCTACAGCACTATCAAGGATCTGAAGTTTGCTATGAGGTTTCTTATACTCCTCATTCTTCTAGATATCAAACGATTCCGTAAGTCATGACCCACGATGCCGAGCTGCAATCCTCGACGTCGTCCGCCTCTTCTTCACCAATTTACATCCACCCAAGATGTGAGCCCTTCGAGCACGGCCTTCTCCCCATTCCCAAGCTCATCTTCACCGACGGCACCGAAACAATGGGCCCCATTTAGGACAAGCTCTTCTACCCAATCGCATCACATTTCCGATTTCCTCCAGATCTCACCTCAGGTACTAAGGTACTAAATTGATTTTTAACAGCTATTTAGGGGTTTTAGCTATTTTTTTTGATTGGGAATCATGTATAATTCCATAATTTATTGGCTAAATTGTAAAATTCGAACTTAGGGTAAGTCAATTGTCTTCTTCCTTTTTGATCTTACAAAACAGTTGATATAAATACTAAGATATTAGTTTGCAATTTACCTTTATTTGCTGCATTTTGTTTTCTTTTATTTCCTATAGTGGTGGACTTTACATAATACTCCAATGTGAGAATGAATTTGAACTGCCATACTCTAATAATTTTTTAGGGAGTGTTTGTATTAGTTTGAGCATAATAGAATGAGTTCCACTGTGTGAAAGTAATAACTTGAATTGTAGCTGGATTAATCTATTTGTAAATCATCATTGTGTCAATGGAACTCAACAGTTTTATCACTTGTAATGATAGCATATGTCATCATACATGTCCTCACAGTCTGTAAACTTTATTTTGTATGAGTTTTATCTTGCAACCATTATATATTTCAGTCATTATGTTCATTTGATAAAGTTGGGTGACCATATCCTTATTTTTTAAGTTCAAAGTGATGGCACAATATGATCAGTAAACATTGCCTACCTGTATTTAAAATGTGTTCTATCAGTTTGGTTTAAGACCATATCTCTCTTTTATAAACTCATTACAATGTTTTTAATTATTTTTTTTCCCATTGTGATAGTTGAATCATTTCATTTACTTATGTTCCTTGTTATACCTCAAATTTAATATTGATAGACTTTACTTGTCAATAAATAGGTTAATTGAAGGTCAATATATATATATATATATATATATATATATATATATATATATATATATATATATAAAGTAATGCTTTATCCATTTGCTTATTTCTTGCAGCAGTGCGATCATATGCTCGCAGTAGACGTTACTATGATCTATTTAAGGGTCGTGTACCTGGAGCCAAGGAATTCAGGAAAACTTGGGCTAAAGAAATGGAAGATGAGGATAACTGTTTATGGACTGGAAGTGAGGGCGAGAGTGAGCCAAGTTCTTTGAAGAAGGAAATCAGAAAGGCCAAACAACGAGCTATAGAGCACTCAGATCGCATTGATGCAGACGACAGTGATGAGTTAAGAAGTGTGTGGTCTGGTAGTGATGAAGAGAAAACGCTGTGGACCGGTAGTGAAGGAGATGATGATGATGACATTCCTACAGAAGCTTATCCAAACGAGAAGAGTGATGAATATATAGATAAACTGTTTGAGTTTGATGAAAAGCCAAAGTATACAACACTCTCTGAGGCTGAGGCTTTAAAAGATGAGGAGGAGCCAAAAGAGTTATCGCCTGGAAAGCAAGCTAGGAAACTTGCAGTTGAAAATGCCCTTAAGAGATTGAAGTAGGGGCCTGATGGTAGATACATCAATGTGTGATCTGGACATTCTAATAGGGGCTTTTGAGAACATCATTTCAGGGCCAGAATATGCTGAACTCAGGCAGGGGGGACCTAGGAAGTTGAATATGCAGTTTTTTAAGGACATTCTTGCTCGTATGAGAGATCCAAACTATAAGTTCTCTCCTGAACTGAAGTTAAAACCGAAGAGCAAAGTGGTCCCGAGAAAGAAGTGGCAGAAGGTAGAATCTAGACGTAGGAAAGCCCGGAAGCGCTAGCTAAGTTGTAGCCTTTTCTTGGCATCCAAACTTTTGTAGGTATGAATGTCCTATCATTGTCTTTGATCATTCCATTTTTAACAAGCATGCATTGATTATCTTTGTCTAGAAGAAAATCCTTGAACATTCACACTGATTCTATATCTCTTTAAGGTGACTGAAGAAATGGAGATGGCATTTGTAGAATTTAATGCAGAAAAGAGTTTCAGCTTTAATTTGAGAATACTTGGTAGGTACAGTAAACACCCAAAGGCTGATGTTTTATATAATTTAATGTTACTGCTATTGATTGTCTATCAGACTCGAACTAGGATTCTTTTTATAATATAATGTTACTGACTTACTGCTATTGATAGTCTATCAGACTCAAACTAGGACGGGGTGATCAATTTACTCAAATATAGTAGCTATTCATGTTCTGCCAATAGCTGATAGGTGGAACCATGTCAAATTTGTGATTCATCATCATCCTTGGTTGATGCATGTACACATTGTCCATGTGTTGGATGGGATGCATTCTCTGCATATAAGGGTTTAGTGTCATGGGAGATGGATTCCTGTACTGGTACACCTGCATGTTATTCATCATGTTGTATGGTGGATAATGATATTGATGCCCAGCTAACTCTGCATGTTCTTTCCCTTCCCTTCCATAGTAGTAAAATAGGGAAAGTTAGATTTGGGAGCTAGGAACTCCATCATGGAGTTCTCCTTTCTTCCCACAATGCTTGTATGATCCTGATGTACATGTGGATTATCCATCTCCATAGTTGTAGAAAACTTGTTGTCTCTTTCTCCTTCCTGGGATTCAAATGCCATACTCTGTTTAAAGGACTCTTCATAGCCCAACTGATCAATACCACTCTCATAGAGTTGGGGTAAGGGTAACATCCATGCTCACATGAGTAGAAAGTAGAAACCCCATACAACACTATAATTTAGGCAACCAAAGAATGAGCCTTTTTTAGAGTACTAAAGTAAAACATGCAAGATGGAACAAGACCTTCAATCTTCTTGATGAGTTTCTTCACTTTCTTCCTGCACCCTAGACAGTTAAATCTGAACTTTTGAGGACATCTGTCTGCAAAAACAAGAAGAAAAGGACAAAAACATGTTACAGACATTAATAATAATTTAGGAAGATAAATACGGGATACCACCGGTGATAATAATAATCCGGAAACTAGTTTTTAAAGATATGAGAGAGAAGATAAAGAATCTGGAAAATGTCTGTAACTAAAAATTTAGGAAGACATTTTTTTGCTAAATTGGACATTTTTCCGTTGACCAAAATGAATATCCAAACACGAAAAAATCCTGTAAATGACTTCTGGTAGTCATTTTTGGGGTTTCCAAACGGACCCTTAGTTATTCCTCATTATTAATAATAATACTGATTACTTTATTTTATTTATTTATTTATTTTCAGTTAGATGCTGTCAAAGATTTGTTTGATGAAATGAGGGATGATGAAATATTGCCTGGTCGAGCTATGCAATGGTCATTCCAGTGAATGCAGGAGGCAGGTTATGATGAAAGTGTGAATGAATTGATCAGAGAAATGCTTCCAGATAGGAGAATTAAGAGTATTGCATATTCCATGGATGTTAATGAGGAAGAAAATGCTGACTTTGTTTCTGAAGATGTTGGAGATCAACTTCAATTGAAGCCATGGCTGGACCCTGCTGCTTTAACTAGTGCATTGCAGCATTGGAGGGTGGAAAATTTGTGTGGACAACTAGGTGCAATTTCTTTTGCTGGGTTTCTTATTTACCAGGATTTACTCATTATTTTTACACAATGTGAAGGATGATTGCCAAGTTGGCTCGTGTCCATTTAGTTGATAAACTTTTGTCTAAGATGGAAAAAGAGGGTTTTAGGTTGTCATTTAGCACCCTTAGATTAATAATTGATTTCTATGGGATTTCTGGTACGTAAAAACAATCTGTGGTCCTAATGATGATTATGCTTCTTTAAACGTAAAAACAATCTGTGGTCCTATTTCTAAACGCAGTTAGTTGATTCTGAAAATTCATTTCTCTTGAAGACATTAGCCAAGTGCAAGAGGAATTCTGATTATATTATACCATACTAAAAAGTGAAAATTTAATATACTAAAAACTAGTCTTATATTAGTGTTCCATCTTATAAGTTGGACCGTGATTTAAGGCACTCTAATCATCAATCGAGCAATACGTAAAGCTTAATGAGAACCAAGTAATAATTGCATAGCACAAATTGAAAGAGCAAAAGGAATTCTGATGTCATTACAGTACAACCAGACAACACAAGGCTTAACCCTAGCTACCCCCACTGGTGACGACTCCTCATCACTGGTTTGCACCACCTCCAAGGCCTTATCAAAATGAACCTCCTTAATCCCCCGGTATTCCTTCCACGATATGGGGGGATACCTAGAATCACGGCCCTTGACTAATTTGGCCGGAGATGAAATTTTTAAGTCAATCTCCGGACCAAAGAAGTAGGTGATGGAGATGCGGTGGGAGGTTTGGCTAACAACAGCCCGATGCTTAACACTTTTGAAGTGTCCATTTGAAAAGATTTGCATCATGTCGCTAACATTAACGACAAGTGCATCGGGTATGGGTTTCACATCAACCCATTTTTTATTGCGGCCAAACACTTGCAAACCAGTGTTGGTGTTGCTTTGGTAAAGCAACGTGATGAGTGAGGAGTCGGTGTGTGGCACCATGCCCAGTGCCCGGGTTGGGTCTGGGCATGTTGGGTATGAATTGAAGTGGAGGAAGGCACTTGTGTTTTTGGACTTCAACCAGTCCACATCTTCCTCCGACATGCCCAATGCTTTGACTATTAAAGAAGTGATCTTTATAGCCAAGCCCTTAAGTTGCTCCTTGTAGTCCTCAACAGCAGTGCTAAGCAAACAAAACAGCAAAAAAAATGCATCTTGTTAAGTATGTATATATTCTCATAAAGATTAAAAAAAAAAAAACACAAGTGTGGGAATTGGAAATACCAGAAAGGGGAGTAGTCTTCCGGCCAAACCAGGCGTGCTTGCTCCTCCGGCGTATCCGAAACCGTGAATCCTTCCATCCACATCAAGCTGCTATAAGCGCTAGATGCGGGGATGATGCCGTAGCCGGGGCGGGAGGGGATTCCGGGAGAGCGGAGAGTGAGTATCTTCTTCTCCTTGGGCAATGCAAAGAAGCTGCGAGCTTGATGCTCAATCTCGGCAAGAAGGGCGAGTGGAACGGCATGGTTTTTCACCTGAAAGGCACCCCAGTTTTCACAGGCCGTTTTTATTTTGTTCACGGCTTCAGGGTCCTCAAGATCAATTATGGGAATAGACTCCTCGCTTGAAGAAGCGTTGGAGGAGAGGGAGTCCCAAGTGTGGGAAGCCGGAACATCCACAGCATTTTCAAAGTCCATGGGGACTAGATGGTTGAGCTGGGTGTTCATGGTTGTGTATGTGTCTATGTGATGATGAGAATGAATTGAAGCTAGAAGGGATGGATCGGAGGGTGGTTGTGTAAGATTTTCCATAATAATATATATTGTATATTATATATTAGGGCCTTAATTAAGTGGTGCAAGTTGACTAGGCTTATTAAGTGGTCTGGTTGGACTTAATAACTAGTAGTTGTTAGTCAACCAAACTCTGTGCCTAATATAACCTGGATTGATGGGATACAGGATTATGGATTAGATAGCACATTCAGTTACGGTACTCAGACTGCTCAGTAGATACCAATACGCCATCTAGGGTTCTGAGTCAGGTCTGAGACAAAATATGGCTGACGGTCTACCGTTAAGAGGCAACACAACAGGAACATCAACTATGGCTGGAGATCAACACGCCTACGCTTCCGCTATCATACGAGGTTAGGTTTCTCGTATACTATGGTTCATATAGTTAGACTATTGTATATCTAACATTTGGTATCAGAGCCTTAATAATCTCTGTCTGGTTGATTGTTTTGCCTAAAACAATATTTATCGTATCTGTGCCTTTTCGGAATTTGTTAACCGTTTTTGTTGTCGGAATATTATTGTTGATTAATTGCCGTTGGAGAAAACATATATATTTTTTGGAATATGCCATGTTTTTTTTTGTTGTTGCTGTCATTGATTTGGTGTTGCGGTGAGGAGAGAATACGGAAGCGAGATTGGGTTCCGGCGGAACTGCTTCTCCTCCGTGCGATGTCGCTGCTGGCCTCTCTCTTCCTTCAGGCAGCGCCGGCGGGATGGCTATATCTCTATTGCAGTATATGAACGGCTAATTAAGGAGGTTACCAGTATATGAACGGCTAATTAAGGAGGTTACCAAATACAGTGAATATAATCTTCCAAGAAAGGGCATGAAGTTGGACGGGCGGTGATCTAACATGCATTTCCTTATAATTTGTCTTTTATTGAAATTGCAATTATCTTTTATTTACCATATATATTTAGTTGCCTTATAAATAATTATATATATGTTAATTTTGGTAAATGGTAATTGTTTGGCTTAATATTACCATATTAATATTGTATATTATTTTGGCAAATGGTAAATATATGGTAATTGCTTATTTTGAAATTTTTTTTTTTTTTTTTGGTGTCAACCACACATTGTGGTCCGGGTCTTTCTCTGTCCGTTTAACGGTTCAGGTCCACCCGGTTCGCTCCGAAAGGCACAGAAGCTGGCCCAAAGGGAATCGTCACTTGTGAGAATCGAACCCGAGTTATCCCGGAATTCTCCCCCACAAAGAGAGCTCATTTGCCACTTGAGCTACCCTGTTGGGTTATTTTGAAATATTAATGCCATTCAATTCTCCTATTAATTTTGGTATTAAATTCATTATTAAATTATCATTCAATTTGGGGCAAATATTAAGTTTTAATTTGCTGTTTGAATTTTAATTTAATATTAAGGTGCAAATTAAATTGCCTGAAGTATTGCAATTTATTTAGACTTTATGGGTTATTAATATATTAATGTGCAGATTCAAGCATGTTGCGTATATTTATAATCGTTTTATTGTTATAATTATACATTCATAATAGCATGCATTAAAGTTGGATTTAGCATATTATTAACTCATAAATTCATTATTAAAATACCATTCAATTTTGGATCCTTAGGCTAATTTTGGACATTATAGCCTATTAAGGTAGCTTGTTTTGGTTTCCCCTTAATTTTGAGCACATTTTAGTTTTATGTGTCTCTGGGACTTTAGAACCTTTTTTGAACAAGCTATTTGGAACCTATCTTGGGTCATTAAAGTATGGATCTCATTATTTTGATTGATATTTAAATAATAATTGTAGCTCTTTTTATAACATGTTTATTAAGTTTTAATTATTACTAACTACCATATTTTGGTATTCATCGTTGGTAATAATATTAAGTTTTGGATCTATTTCAGTACTTAGACCATTTTTTATTCATGTTATAATTCACTTGGGTCATTGAGGTTTATGTGCCTAATTTGAGTGATTAAGTGCTATAATTATTGTTTTGGCCTGTTTAGAGACATTAAGTTGTTATTTTGGCCATTAAGAACTATTACTATTGTTTAAGTTGATTAAATTTTTAATCTATCAATAGTTTTTCAGGGCCTTAATAATAATATTAAGTCTTTAATTTTATGGCAAAAGCAATATAGTTGGTATATTGTCTATATAATGGTAATTTGGTTATTACCTTAACTTCAGTTTCCCTAAGTATCATAATAGTCATGATTAATTATTATGTGGTAAAATTGAGATTAGTATTTGACATCCCTTAATTACAGTTTTGCCACTTATTAAGCTAAATTCGGCATTATTAATTACTGTTATTAAGTTTAGGGGCTAATCTCATTTTATTACTTTTCATAATAATTATCATTTCATGGTAATCTGCTATATTTGGTACATTGGCATGATTACCACTTCATTTTACATGACTATTAATGTTGGTAATTAAGTCCTATCAATAAATTTGTTAACGTAACATTGGACGCTGCATCGAGTTTATTGACACCGATAGTGAAGATTCGGAGAATTCTGGAGTTTTTCTTCTCTTGTGGATCATCATCGTTGTTAGCGCAATGGAGAGATGCGGTTTGCATCATTAAGGTTAGCCATTAATTATCTTTTGCGGTTATTTTTGATAATTAGTGCTACAGTTATAGTTAAACCGCTAATTTAGACTAGTCACATATTTTATCTTTACAAAAAGGAAAACATTAAAAGGTGCATTACCATACTTTGATTTGTCTTTATTATTAATGTTAATAGTGATTATAATGTTACTTATTACTATTAATAATTAATGAGCCTAATTTGAGTGGGAGTAACAGACGTGTTAACTCTAAGCTCTTAGCTGTTAGAGATAGTACTTAAAGTTAACTTATAAAGAAGTCATGGAATATAGTTAGCATTATGCTAACATTAAGAGATCTCTACTTAAGGCATGCTTATAAAGTTTTAGAGATCATATAGTGTACTCTTTTGTACAATTTGGATGCGTTTTCTCCTTCAGTTGTGCACATAATGTATTTTGAGAAACATCCCTTAAGGTACCGAGAATAAACATAGGGTTTGTTCATTAAGGACCTAAGTTGGAGAATTAAAATGCATGTGACCATAATGGATACTACTCTGATTAAATAGAGGACATGTCACTATGATTCTTGTGTTTTGTTCTTTGATGAAGGTTGTGCTAGTACTTGCACCAAGTGGGAGAATGTAAGATTTTCCATAATAATATATATTGTATATTATATATTAGGGCCTTAATTAAGTGGTGCAAGTTGACTAGGCTTATTAAGTGGTCTGGTTGGACTTAATAACTAGTAGTTGTTAGTCAACCAAACTCTGTGCCTAATATAACCTGGATTGATGGGATACATGATTATGGATTAGATAGCACATTCAGTTAC